AACGCTAGAAACCGGGTTTTGATACCCGGGGTGGGCAGAGCACAGATAGCCCATTGCGTAGCTTTGTGCTTAACCACAAACAAACCACAGTGACACAGAGGTATGTCTGCTGATTTACAACGCTAGAAACCGGGTTTTGATACCCGGGGTGGGCAGAGCACAGATAGCCCATTGCGTAGCTTTGTGCTTAACCACAAACAAACCACAGTGACACAGCGGCATGTTTGCGGATTTACAACGCTAGAAACCGGGTTTTGATACCCGGGGTGGGCAGAGCACAGATAGCCCATTGTGTAGCTTTGCACCTAATTACAAACAAACAGTAAGCTTAAATATAAGTTATCTTTAAAAATGGCAGGTCGTAGGTGTAACGATATACTTTCATTATAGTTTTTTTTCTTCCCCAGGAAACTTAAGTTATATTTTTTTTAGGTTTAAGTACTATTTGTTGTTGTTAGAATATTCCAATGTTTAGTAAATGAGTTGACATCAGAATAACCTAATACTTCGAATTATAACAAATGTTTTTTTTCTAAAACCACAATTTCATATGAGAATTTAATACTAACTTTCTTGTATAATATTCTGAAGCATGGAAGAAAACATGAAATGTGAGTTACAAAAAGCAGCTGATAGGGAGATACTGAAACCACCTAAAAATATAAAGATGACATTCAAATAACAACGCTTTCCTTCGTGAAAAGCAGCTGACAAGCGTTGTTATTCGAATGTCATCTTTATATTTTCAAATGGTTTCAGTATCTCGCTGTCAGCTGCTTTTCACGAAGGTAAGCGTTGTTATTTGAATGTCATCTTTATATTTTTAAATGGTTTCAGTATCTCGCTGTCAGCTGCTTTTCACTTTTCAGTATCTCGCTATCAGCTGCTTTTCACGAAGGTGAATGTCATCTTTATATTTTTAGATGGAAGTGTACAAACAATTAGAGTAATTAAAACCAAATACATTTGCAAGTGTACAAACAGTGAAAATATGTGTTGAGTCTATATAAAGTCTTGCTATTATATATTGTTCTGCAGTGCTGATTTCTAACATCTTTGTCTGTGGACTTATAGCGGTAAAAATCCGGTTTCGATACCCGTGGTGGGCACAGCACAGATAACCCATTGTGTAGCTTTGTGCTTATATGAAACAAACAATTTTTTTAAACTACATTATAGGGTTTCCTGCGTCATGGGATTTAATGCTTTGATTATCAACGCTTCCAATCTGTACGGAAATGAATTTCTAAATTTTTTCCTGATGGGAATTTTCAATATACCAGCAATTTTCTTATCCATGTACCTAATGGAAAAATTGGGGCGACGATGGGCTAATGTCATCTTTATGTTTATAGCTGGCTTCAGTATCTCGCTGTCAGCTGCTTTTCACGAAGGTAAGCGTTGTTATTGCAAGTGTACAAACAACTAGAGTAATGAAAACCAAATACATTTGGCAAATACATTTGCAAGTGTACAAACAACTACAGTAATGAAAACCAAATACATTTGCAAGTGTACAAACAATTAGAGTAATGAAAACCAAATACACTTGCAAGTGTACAAACAATTAGAGTAATGAAAACCAAATACATTTTACACTTGCAAATGTATTTGGTTTTCATTACTGTAGTTGTCTGTACACTTTCTAATGCATTTGGTTTTCATTACTCTAATTGTTTGTACACTTGCAAATGTATTTGGTTTTCATTACTGTAGTTGTCTGTACACTTGCAAATGTATTTGGTTTTTATTACTATAATTGTTTGTACACTTGCAAATGTATTTGATATTCATTATTCTAGTTGTCTTGCAAATTATTATCTGTGTTCTCCAAACTAAAACAGTCACTACCGAGAAGTGGAAAACGATGTACAAAATGTAGAAGGATTTATCTGTTTTATTATTTCTAATAGCTTGATAATCTACTGGGGACAGCAGAGCTGATAAACACCCTTAGCTTTAAAAAGTTTGACATTCATTCGCTGACCTTAAATTCTTTTCTATTTACCAATAAAATTAAGTAAACTACACGTAATACACATTATTTTAAATAAAAACGTTTTACACTTTAGTAAAAACAAAACTTTACCATACCTTTGATAGATGTTTTTACTAAAATGTTGACTAAACGATAATTTTTTATAAAATAAAGATTTTCCCCACGATTGCCACGTAATTGTTTTTCTTCCAGCTTTCTTTTCTCCAGACTTATTTACAAATCATATTTTAATTATTATCATTTAATACGTAATCAAGTCATTGGTTATTCGGCAACGCCTACACAAAGAGCTATGTACATGCGCTTGCCGTCCCTAATTTTTAACTGACAGACAAGAGAGAAGGTAGCTGATCAACACCACCCACCACCAACTCTTGAGTGACAGAATTTCGGGATTTGACCTTATAAAGCATCCACGGAGCGTTTATATATATATATATACTTTAACAGAACGCCAACGATGAGATCAACAATCCGTCACGCCATGTTTGATAGAAAGTTTCAATTCTAAACTATGCATGCTTATTTAAATATATTTACACATGGCTTGTGCACCCCAGTGGCACAGCGGTAAGTCTTTGGACTTATACGCTACAAACCGGGTTTCGATACCCGTTGTGGGCACAGCACAGATAGCCAAAAAACAAAACAAACAAACAATTGTGTACCAACTTGATAATTTGGTTAAGATTAGTTACATAAAACACTTAAATAATCTTTTAAACCCTTAGCTAAACTTATACAAACAATTGACACCTCACGCATAAGATAAGAAATTTCGTAAGAAATGTTTATGTTTGGATCATTTCTGTAGCATTATATATATTTAATTTTTACTCATCAAAGATATTATTATGTGTGATTATATTCGAGGTCACTCAATGTTATTAGCTCATAGATAGACTGGTTACTTTTAATGTTCAGCAGTAATGATATCATTAATCTTTTTGTTTTCAACAATATTTTTTATGCTCAGCAGTAGTGATATCATTAATCTTCTTGTTTTCAACAATATTTTTTATGCTCAGCAGTAGTGATATCATTAATCTTCTTGTTTTAAACAATGTTTTTTATGCTCAGCAGTAATGATATCATTAATCTTCTTGTTTTCAACAATATTTTTTATGCTCAGCAGTAGTGATATCATTAATCTTCTTGTTTTAAACAATATGTTTTATGCTCAGCAGTAATGATATCATTAATCTTCTTGTTTTCAACAATGTTTTTAATGTTCAGCAGTAGTGATATCATTAATCTTTTTGTTTTCAACAATATTTTTTAATGTTCAGCAATAATGATATCATTAATCTTCTTGTTTTAAACAATATTTTTTAATGTTCAGCAATAATGATATCATTAATCTTCTTGTTTTAAACAATATTTTTTAATGTTCAGCAGTAATCATATCATTAATCTTTTTGTTTTCAACAATATTTTTTACTTGTGATTTTATAGAAAGAGCTGAGATTATTTTCTTACCACGAAAACGTTATGATGAGAAAATGTTTCCTTAACGTGCTGTGGCGGAATAAATCCTTCAAGTTGTGTGTTGTTTCTTCTTCATTTTCCTTCATGGTTTTTTGCATTTTCTGTTGAAAGAAAAATTTGCATATAACTCGGGGAAGCTTAAGTGGACACAATCTACCCTGGTATGCTGAATATATTGATGGGATGGTCTCATCTGTAGAGTATGTGACCTCATATAGCAACCTTTATCTCATGAATACTGGAAAATAGACCTATTTCTGTGCCCTGAGTCAGACATTTCCTGCCACCAATCGATAAATTTGTTCACCCTGTCTCCTTCCTTTATTTAAAGAAGGAGAATGACTTACGAAGCAGTAAAGATTTTCTCATTATTCTGCATATGATGAGATACTTATGTAAATTCCTGGAGATGATTGGTATTGTTAGTCGTATTTCATTTTTCGAATCAAACATTTTCTTATCCAAAAACCCAATGTGTTTTTCCCTTTTTGGACCATCTGATTCGACTACAAACGTCAATTAGATAAGTCCTTTTAAAGAGAAAGCATCTTGGTTCAGTATTTTTGTATTATAAGACGGCTTATGACACCACTTAAAGGTTCGTTATATTACATTTATCCATTTTATACCTATGCTTTAAAAGGTCATTCAAGATCTGTATGAGATTGCCAATATCCTGATCCTTCTCATAGGAGCTCGGAATACTTCATGGTTGTGTTTCGAGTGTCATAATATCAATGACTGTCATCGAATATGAAATACACAGAACAGCGACTTCAAACTGCTCTCAATAAATTGTGTGGGTGGACCAATGGAAACTCTTTCAAATTTTCAGTCTAACTCCCGGCCCACCCCCTAGTCTGCTTGCTACTTACAGAACTGTGTGAAACAATGAAAAAACGTAAATCAATATAGGATTCAACTATATTTACTTTACATAAGCCCCCCCCCCCCAGTGGCACAGCGGTATGTCTGGGGACTTATACCACTAGAAATCGGGTTTCGATACACGTGGCGGGCAGAGCACAGATAGCCCATTGCGTAACTATGTGCTTAACTACAAACTAACAAACTTTACATAAACTTTTTTTTTTCATAAGTAAGATTTAAACCAAACAATAATTTTATTATACTAGGCACTTACACTATCAGCACCAGGAAAAATTATAGCTTGTACTAAAACCCATAGGTGTAAAGATAAGCTATTATCGTTGTTGACGTTTCAGTGCAAAACTACGCAACGGGCCATCTGTACTCTTCTGTACACCGCGTGGAATCCAACCCGGAATTTTAACGTTATCAGTCTGTAAACTTACCGCTGACTCACTGGAGGGCGTAAGTTACTGTAACAATTAAGGCTAAAACCGAAGAGAAGACTCACATTAAGCTTCGTGATGAGGTCAGTAGGCACAGAGTATCCATTCGTCTCGGCAATTCTCGTCAGGATTACAACTGATTCTTCATAGCGTCCAACGGACACCAACCAGCGAGGGGATTCAGGTAAAAATCTGCACGAAAATTGGATCTCACTGCAGTTAACTGGTTAATATTTTAACCGAACTGTTAACTAACAAGGAATGAACGATTCTTTCTTATATTATCACGTTAAATCATCACGTTGTATTATCACGTTAAATCATCACGTTATATTATCACGTTAAATTATCACGTTATATTATCACGTTATATTATCACGTTGTATTATCACGTTATATTATCACGTTGTATTATCACGTTAAATTATCACGTTATATTATCACGTTAAATTATCACGTTGTATTATCACGTTAAATTATCACGTTATATTATCACGTTAAATTATCACGTTAAATTATCACGTTATATTATCACGTTGTATTATCACGTTAAATTATCACGTTATATTATCACGTTGTATTATCACGTTAAATTATCACGTTATATTATCACGTTAAATTATCATTTAAATTAACAGTTTATTTCTAACTTTCCTTCCTCTAACTATCAGATTTCTGATAAAATAAAAGTGATTTGGTGATTTTACTAACTGGTTTGTCATTTCTTAATCACGTGATATATATATACTACAAAGAAGTGCCGTAACTGTTTGTCATTTCTTAATCACGTGATATATATACTACGAAGAAGTGCCGTAACTGGTTTGTCATTTCTTAATCACGTGATATATATACTACAAAGAAGTGCCGTAACTGGTTTGTCATTTCTTAATCACGTGATATATATATACTACAAAGAAGTGCCGTAACTGGTTTGTCATTTCTTAATCACGTGATATATATACTACAAAGAAGTGCCGTAACTGGTTTGTCATTTCTTAATCACGTGATATATATACTACAAAGAAGTGTCGTAACTAATTTGTCATTTCTTAATCACGTGACAAAGAAGTGCCGTAATTCTTCACGAATAAAATACGGAATTTAATTAAATTAAATTTCCAAGGTTTTTGTTTTACGCCTTCTTGGGTGTTTTGGATTTGTATATTATATAAAAATAGGAAAGTTTTTTTTTTTTGATATCGGAAATTATTATATAATACGACGTATCTAGTGTTTAATGTATTTATTAGCACTTTTGATCAGAAAATACTGAATTTTGCCAACTATTTAGCATACTGCAGTCATCTTGTCTTATACACTGATAATTTAAGGCTCGAATTGTTACACTTAGTGAGAAATTATATTTTTTTTCACCAAAGTTTTGTTTTCTTTCTAATTATGTTTCAAACGTACTAATGATATTACGTTTCCTCACGATCTAGGAAAAAAAAAAGTTATGAAAAAATAATAAACCACATTCAGATCAAATAAGCTATGAAAATAAAATAGTATTATAATATGCTGGTAATAATTACTGTTTTACCGTTACCATGAGAACCCCAACTGAACGAAATGTTATAATAATTAGTACAGTACCTCCAGTAGGCGAGAAAAGGGATACAGCAGCACGTGGTTATCAATCCAAATATTTTCCAAGTTCTGCACAAATACGCCAAAAGAGCCAAGAGAGACATACCAACCGCCCACGAGATACAAAGGACCCCCACAATTTGTGTACGTATGTCCTTCGCCACCATTTCAATCACTAAGATATAAAGTTTGTGTTTGTTCCAGTTTATAGTTAGTTACTCGTGATTTTTGTGACAGATTTACATCTGTATGAATACGTTGCTCTATAACTTCATAAAACCAACAGATTTAACGTAGTATATTTAAAAAACAACACAATAGCGTGTTTATCCAAAAGAAAATCGTAGTTATCATGGAGTAAACGCCTTTTGCTAGCGAAGTGTGAGAATAATAAATATATTAGCCATCAGACAATAGCTTTAGGCTTACTGTATTTTTAAACGTTACATTCTATATTCGATCCCTTGGGTATTTTATGATAAGAAGAGTGTATAATAATATTTCAATCACACTACCACTTCTATGTTTGTTTTGTCCCATCCTCCACGATGAGTGAAACGCGTTATCGGCGATGGATAGGATGGACACAGTGTGGTTGAAATACTATTATTACATATTCCTCTTATCGGAAACATTCTAAGATATCGAATAAAGAATGAAGAGTTTAAAAATGAAGTAAGCCTAAAGCTATTGTCTGATGGCAAATATAACTCTGAAAATCATGATGAAACTTAGTTGAATGGACAACAACCGCCTGTTGTAGAAACAAAAGTGTAGATGACGACGTTTCGAAAGTCTTTCGTCTATCAAAGAATTTAGAAAAACCATAATTTTTGAACAAACTAAGTTTAATCAAAAGAGTTGTATAGTGATATTAGTTTTCATTGGCCTTCTCCAGACTAGCTTGTATTGAGGAAAGAACTTAGTTAATACAGTTTAGTCCTCCGTTTAGAGTTTATGACGTTAGAAATCGTGATTCGAGTAGGTGATATATTGTGTAGCTTTTCGCTAAAACAAACCAATCAACAACACTTTTAAGGGTTACCAGGTATTTGAATTCCCTTGTCAGGTGTTAAAAATTTGGTGATAAATGAACTTCTAATAGTTATTCTTCTTTGGGTCGTTGTTAAGTAAATAAGTACACCAAAAAGTTTTATACATTTGTTCGTTCAAGCCTGGAACATTCACGTAACATTTGTTAACATCTTTTTACTCGTACCTTTCCGTCGTTGGAGAGTTTATTCCTGGAATATGAAAAGTACATAACAATAAATATGTTTCATTATCGTGATTTCCAACAGTTTATTTATATCTCCCTGTGGGTCAGCGGTAAGTTTAAGGCTTTACTAAGTTAAAATTCGGGTTTCGATTTCCCACCGTGAACAGAGTGCAGAAATCCCATTGTATAGCTTTGTGCTATAAGAATTATTTTTCACGATCGGTGACGGATTCAGAGGGGGGACCTCTTTTTGGCGACAATAATAAAATTTTATGTGCAAATATCCATTTTATGTATTTGCAGACTCATCATGCCAATCTTTGGTTTACATTCATTTGGTAAGTTAATTCCTACAGCCGCATGTAAACGTACGCTGAACAGAGAGGAGGGAAGACTAGGGAAGCCAATATACTCCCCCCCCCCCAGTTATATACCACTCAATATAAAATTATACGTTCAACCTTCCAGTGCACAACTTTGGTTTCAAAAATGGAGGGAGGACACTTTCTATAGCTGTGGAATGTATGATAGTAGTTATTAAAAAAAATCCAGCTCTTAAAAAGTGGGGAACATGCCCCCTCTGTGACCCCTATGCATTTAAGTGTATTACATAAGTCTTTATTTGACGTATTACGAGTATATTTTAACAAAACTACCGTATTATTGTTCTGTCATAAAACATAAAAAGTCGTATCCCTTTGTAGTGCCATCTAGTGGTAACATATTTTATAGTATTTTCATAATTTAAAATACAACATAGTTATGAAAGTACATTTGTCTTATTAAACATAAAAACGATCCAAGAGCAACGTTATTTTATTTAGTTTCCCTGACTGTGAATCATGTGAGGTTAAACACGATATCGGACACTTGCAAACAATTAATATGAATGACAAAGAGAACAGAATAGAACCTACGTGTAATACTCGGTACTTGGTACAATGTTGGATATGATGTACCGTGTATCAGTCGAAACACAGCAAACACTGTAAAACTGGGTACAACCATTGAAATAATCCCGGACACAAAAGTCACGATGGTACAGATATAGAACGTTGGCTTCCTTCCAATCCTGTAAAAACAGAAATAATTGCACAACAAACTAAACAGTCTGTATTCGGAAATTTTGATATCTCTTGAGCAAAGGAAAAAGAATATTTAACAGTAAATTTGTTTTTAGTTAGTGAGCTTAATGCAGGTAGGCGATATTTAACAAGCTTGTAGGTGTGGGGTAACAAGAGTAGATAGAATAGGTCTGAGGGGTAAACCATTTTTGTGTATTTTTCGGTAAGCCATAACAGATGTCAGAATTTACAGTTTTTAAAATATCATAAAGTCCGTTGAAGCTTTTCCTCACGCTTGAAAGTAAGCTTGAACCAATCATTATAGAGGGGTTTAAACTTAAACCAATCATTATCGATGGGTTTAAACTTAAGCCAATCATTATGAACTTTTTTTTTCTTTGTGATAACAACGATAACGATGGCATTTGAGGAAATTTGAATTCCTATTACTCTACCTACCTATGCCTTAACTGATTGGTGTCCGAAAAGTTTGGAACCATGGGCACTTCAACGAATTTTACAGAATGTGTTCCACATGTTGTCTTTTTTTGGATTAACAACAGGATTAACTCAACCTTCTCATGTTTTGAGAGCACCATAATTAGCCACGTATCTGAAATTAATAAAATCTGGAAATAACCTATGGTTCCAAACTTTTTGGACATCTTATATAGCTGATATAATGCTATCTTTAGCTCAGTTAAACAAACAAGATAAAGGCCAAGAGGAATATTTCTTTCAAAACCGACAGAGATTGTATACAGTTGAAAAATACGAATCTTGGACTACACAGCTAAAAATAACCCAAAGTCCGGTCCGAACTGCATATAACATAACGTTCACCTTGCGTTTCTATATTACACCACAGAAGAACTGATAAATTACAAAGCGTTCCTCAGCGATAAAGTTACTATAACCATTGATAAAGTTACTTTAACCATTGATAAAGTTACTATAACCATTGATAAAGGTACTTTCACCATTGATAAAGTAACTGATAAAGTTACTTTAACCATTGATAAAGTAACTGATAAAGTTACTATAACCATTGATAAAGTTAACTGATAAAGTTACTTTAACCATTGATAAAGAATGGTTAAAGACTCTTTATCATTAACTTTATCAATGGTTAAAGTAACTTTATCATTAACTTTATCAATGGTTAAAGTAACGTTATCAGTAACTTTATCAATGGTTAAAGTAACTTTATCATTAACTTTATCAATGGTTAAAGTAACTTTATCATTAACTTTTTCAATGGTTAAAGTAACTTTATCAATGGTTAAAGTAAGATAAAGTTACTTTAACCATTGATAAAGTTACTGATAAAGTTACTTTAACCATTGATAAAGTTAATGATAAAGAAACGAATAAATATTGTCGTATTTTTCATCAACCAGAAGTTTAGAACCTAAGAAGCAACGATTCATGTTGATGTGTTTTTTTTAACTTTCTTATTAATAGAAAATTGATCTGAAGAACTTCCCTACCTATCCGACAAGGATCCATACAGTGGAGTTGCTACAGCTCCCCCTATACTGGCCAAGGTGAAAATAAGATGAGGGTAATGACTTTTGTCACACACTAAGTCCCACTGAAATATTAACAAGTGAACAAGATTTAACACTAGCTACAAAACTATAATTGAGAAGACCAGTTATTATCTAATTGTTTACATATTTATTTGCATTCATGATTCGTAAGATCAGACACGTAGAGTAATGTAGATTATATTCAAGCGATGTATTGTTAGTTTTGTATAAATGATATTAAATACCGTCGGTGTTTTGTGAAACTCCATAGTTACAGAATTGAGGAAAAAACAAGACAATTGTACGTTTCACAAATACGTTATTTATTCACGACAGTGGTTTCACCGGAGTCTGTACCTGGTGATGCTTTTACTGGCGAAACTATGTCTTGTTTTATCTCAGTTCTGTTGCTAGTTTTGTTTAATTGTCAGATCTATAATATAGACCAAATGAATAGAATGACTGTAAAAAAAGCTGAAAAAAATATATTTATAAAGGGAAGACCCATACTGTATATAAATATAGAGAAAGACCAGAAACCAGAATGGGTCAGTCGGTATATTGTCTAAAGTTGGTTTGACCAAATTATAGTTGTAGGCTAGAATGTAAGTAGTGTGACGATATACGACAGATAAACTAGGGTATCAGAATGGGTATAATAAACAGATACACTGTGCTAAAAATTAAACAGATAAATTCACCTCTCCCAGAATGGGTCAGTCGGTATATTGTCTAAAGTTGGTTTGACCAAATTATAGTTGTAGGCTAGAATGTAAGTAGTGTGACGATATACGACAGATAAACTAGGGTATCAGAATGGGTATAATAAACAGATACACTGTGCTAAAAATTAAACAGATAAATTCACCTCTCCCAGAATGGGTCAGTCGGTATATTGTCTAAAGTTGGTTTGACCAAATTATAGTTGTAGGCTAGAATGTAAGTAGTGTGACGATATACGACAGATAAACTAGGGTATCAGAATGGGTATAATAAACAGATACACTGTGCTAAAAATTAAACAGATAAATTCACCTCTCCCAGAAGTTTCTTGCAAAGCTAACAAAGGACTTTATTTAGATAACCCGTCCTTAATTTTGAACAGACAGATCAGAAGAA